CCATGTCGCAATCCCTTCTCCTCCATTCTCCTCTTGGGATTTTGAGCACACACGCACACATGCCCAGCATGAGTTTAAGCCACCGGGTCGGGGACTCGAACTGCAGTCGACTACATGGGAGTCCAACGACATAGCCAATACTGCTGGTCCCGCATTATGGAGATTTTTCACCAGGTGACGAGAAAGAGAAGGGGTCATGCTTTCTAGCTCTCTTAAGACGCAGTGGGGGTCCCACTCTCGAGGCCCCTCCTCTGGCACCTCTGATCCTTCCAGTCCTGATAGCAGGGACCAGACTCTCAATTTCTCTTTTCCCAGGGGCCCCAGGACCAGCCCTGGTCTCGGAGAGGAACCTTGACTGTGACAGGGACCACTACCTCTCCTCCCAAATCCATCTTGCCTGTTTTTTTTTTTTTTTTTAAATTGTGCTGTTGAGCACAGGCATTCACCAGAGAGACACAGAAAGAGAAAGTGAGAACGCATCCCCAGGAGGGATGGCCTCACCACAATCCCTTCTCCATTGTCCTCTTGGGATTTTGGGCTCGCGTGCACACATGCCTAGCATTCTTTCCAAGCCACCAGGTCTGGGATTCAAACCGCGTAGTCAGCCACGTGGGATCCAGCGCCTTAACTCCAAGCCAAGGGCTGGTCCCATCCTCCCTGCTTTACTTTTGGTAACCAAACCCGTAAGAAAATGCACACTGCATATGGCCACCCAGTCGGACTACATTTCCCAGCCTCCCTTGCAGCTAAGGATGGTTATGTGACTATGCTCTGGCCAATGGAGTATAAGCATAAGTCCTTTGTATCTTTTCTGGGCCATGCCTTTAAAAAGCACGCTGCCTGCCCTCTACTCTCTTCTCCACCTCTTGCTGGTTGGGAGACAGTGGCAACCGGTACACCAGCCTCCGCCCCAGAGTTGTACACCAGCCTCAGCCCCAGAGTTGAAGCCTCACGTTCACACTGGCGGCACAGACCTGGGAACGCCCTGCCTACCTTCCTCTGGATGTTACATCACAGTAAACCTCCTGGTTTAAGTCACTGTCTGGTGAGGTCTCTGCAGCTGAGTCTAGAATCTGACACACTGTGAGCACGACCTGCAAAGCCATGGCGGTTACAGGTTATAGATTTACAGTGTTGCAAACACAGATTCTGCAGGCAGTCTGGGACCTTTGCTCCTTGACTTAAAGCTGGAGGGCTTGGACACCGTCACTGGCCTCTCTGTGCCTCATGTCCGCAGTGGTAAGTGGACAGGGTGTGACCCGTCTCTCATAGCTGTTAGGTGCATGAAGCCAGCTAACATACACAGAGGTCAGGTCCGTGGCTGCTGTTTGATGAACTGTCACTATTCCTGATTTTTTTTTTTTTAAGAGGTTTTTGCTATACCCCCAGGGGGGAGGGCCATGCCACAATCCCTTCTCCTCCATTCTCTCGGGATCTTGGGCACACACGCACATGCGCCTGGCATGAGTTTTAAGCCACCGGGTCCGGGACGCGAACCGCGGTCGACTACATGGGAGTCCAGCAACATAGCCATTATGCTAACTGCTGGTCCCTTTATTCCTGTTTTTATAGCTGTCCCCCCTTATCTGCAGGGACACATTCCAAAATCTCCCAAGGATGCCTGACTCTGCAGGTAGCCCCGATAAAGGTCTAAATCAGGCAGAGTAAGAGATAATCAATGGTAACAAATAACAGAACTGAACAACTGTAACAATACATTATAAGAGGGGGCTAGCAGGTGGCAAGGTGGTTAAGGTGCTGGCCACTCCTACATGGCCAACCATGGTTCAAGTCCTGGAACTGGTGGCTAGTTTTCCCACTTTCCCTCTCTCTCTGGTTAAAGACAAAAAAAAGAAAGAAGAATAAATTTTATTTTAAAAAGAATACATAAAATTAAATAAATAATTCTTTTAAAAAAATATGTCACTGTGATCTCTCTAAGTGTCTTAGTAGGCTGGGCTCGTCCACCCCAGGGCCACAGTTGACTGTGGGAAATGAAACCGCAGAAGAAGGGGAACTATTGCCTTTAATAACCACCGTGAAAGTTCTTGGTGGCTGAACGCCTGCCGCATTATTAGTCCCTGTGCCAGGTACAGAATACACCTAGTTTCCACTGCATCCCTCAAATGGGGCCTGAGGCAGAGAGCACCTCCCCCGTCACAGAGGAGGAGACAGGCCCAGAGAGCAGCCCAACAGCAGTCGCACACGCAGAATGCAGAGGCCAGATCTGAACTCAGAGACGGGCAGCCAGAGTCACCACCATTCACCGTGCCACCGCCCGCTCGTGCCAAACAGTCACCCCGCACCCGCATGTGCCCCCGACGGGTCCTACAGCCCTGTGGGGAGAGGCATCGTGCTGTAGCTGCCCCACTTCTGGACTTGAACTGAGACGTGGACCAGTGCAGCCCTCTGAGGCCCCAGCCAGTCTGTGTGGGCTCCCCTCACTGGTCAGTAGAAAGCCGCCCGGCAGACCCGGGCAAACACCACCCAACCAGAGGATGTTGAAGCTGTGACATTCTGGGGCCTCTTTCAAGGTCTAAAAATGGATCATTCAAAAAAATCAACTCAGGTTCCCAGGGCCTGTGGGCGGAGAACAGGGCTGACTGCTTTCCTGGTGCGATGACTAATTCATTAAGTAGGGAGGACTTCGGGGGGCCTGGGAGTGGGGGATACACAGGCAGATCCTGCGAGGGGAGGGCAGATCCACACTGTGCGACCCCTAGGGTCCTGCCCTCATGTCTAGCACCTCGGATGGAGGAAGGTCCGGGGCTCTCACCCCACCCTGGCCCCTGTGGCCCCGCAGCCACCACCCCCTCCATACCTGTTTTCTTTGCCATTTGGCAGCAGAGACGGGCGCTCAGCCCCTGGGCGCTCTGTGCAAACGTAGGTGTTCCTGCGGGTCATCATGCTGGGCGGGAGGTTGTTCTGCAGGAGACACAGCAGGGAAGGGGGCCAAGAGGTAAAGGGGACGCCTTTTAATGCCCCCCTCACTCTCTCTGGCCTCCCTCTTGATGAATGAGTCAGGGACCTGCGTGGGAACCAGGAGTGGGTAGAAGATGGTTTAAAGGTCGCGCAGACATGAAAGGTTCGTGGGCAATCCCAGCCACCTAGGGAGGAGGACGCCGCGGGAGGGTCTGCAGGTCTCCTGCCCACCTCTCCTCTCTCAGTGATACCGACCCTTGTGAGGTCCGGTCTGGCCACGCTACACCTGCTGTGAACTCACTTATTCAAGCAACGTGTTGTCTCTGTTCCCAGCCTTTGCTTTAGTACACGCCTACCTTCTCCCGACTCCCTCCTATCTTCCAGTTGTCATTTATGCCCCCACCCCTGGCCCCCAGCCCTCAGGGACCTCCTGTGGGCTCCCATCAGGCCCTGGGCTCCCAAAACGGCCTCAATCACTGCATTGTCAATTTCTCTTCACATGTACCTGGAGTCTTCAAAATGTTCATGGAAAATGCACATTATGAAAAAAATCATGCATGGATTTCAACTTTTTTTTTTTTTTGGCAAAAAAAAAAACTCAAATTT